CCATTAATATCTACCATTCATTCTATTTTTATTCCGAATTCCTTCTTATTTTTTTTATTCCATCCGCGAGCCAGGGTCATGCCTACCTCCAAGATACGCCAGGCCGTTTATACAGTCATAAAATATATGTGGCAGTCTATTCTGTTCCGTGGTCCAATCACTTATGCGGCCCTGAAAGTTTCTCAAAGTCGTCTTACAGTGTATATCTCTTTTGATATTTTATTTCTTGCCTACCTCCTTCGCAGAAAGGTATGGCTTTTTCTGGAGTGAGGAAGATGTATAGGAGTTGTAGCGGCGTGAAATGGATGTCTCGATCGGAAAAATGCTGGCACCATGTCCGGCTCCGATGGCCGATGAGTTAGAGACCCCAGAAAGGAAGGTAGTATATCATTGGCAAGGAATACTGGACTTGGAACTAAAAAGAGATTGTTTGAATCAAGGATTTCTGGTGCATAAATTGCAACTTTGATCTAAGATCCAGGGCCTTCTAAATTAGATCACTAATGCTAATCTCGAAATGGAAATTAAATGGCTATCCGATTATTAATTAAAATGCGAATATTTTTGGATTATATTGAATTTCGAAATTGGATGTCAATTTAATGCAAAACTATGAATATTCTATGGATTATATTGGACGTCAAGCTATAAAGTCCAGCCTATACTCGATGAGTTAGAGATTCTAGAAAGAAGGTTGGCAAAGAAAGTTTGACTTGAAACTAAGAAGAGATGGTTTCAATCAAGACTTTTTAGTGCATTAATTGCAACCTTAAATTAGAATGATGAGTTTTCAAAAGTGGACCACTGATATTAATCTCGAAATAGAAATTAAATGGCTATCCGATTATTAATTATTTTTCATTTGAAAATGCGAATGCTTTTGGATTATATTGGATTTCGAAACTGTATGTCAATTTATTGCAAAACTACGAATATTCTATGGATTATATTGGAAGTCAAGCTATGAAGTCCAGCCTATACTCGATGAGTTAGAGACCCTAGAAAGAAGGTTGGCAAAGAAAGTTTGACTTGAAACTAAGAAGAGATGGTTTCAATCAAGACTTTTTAGTGCATTAATTGCAACCTTAAATTAGAATGATGAGTTTTCAAAAGTGGACCACTGACAATAATCTCGAAATAGAAATTAAATGGCTATCCGATTATTAATTCCTTTTCGTTTGAAGAGGCGAATGCTTTTGGATTATATTGGATGTCGAAATTGGATGTCAATTTAATGCAAGGCCACGAATATTCTTGGATCATATTGGATGTCCAGATAAGAAAAATGTTGATAGAACGTCCACCTCTCAATATTCGATAAGTTAGAGACACTAGAAAGAAGGCAGTATGTTATTTACAAATAAAGTTTGACTTGAAACTAAGAAGAGATGGTTTCAATCAAGTATTATTTGCAACCTTAACTTAGAATGCTGAGCTTTAAAAAGTAGGCCACTAATATTAATCTCGAAATAGAAATGAATTGGGCATTTTTCATTTTAAAATGTGATTATTTTTGGCGTTCAAGAGTTATGAAATAGGAAGTGGTATATTTAGTTCATCAATCTTATTACAAGTTACTGTTATTTATAATTTCTCCTCAGACATACCTACCTGTACGGTAGTCAATGAGTAAAGTAATCCAGGTTTGATTCCCTCTTCCGGCATGGATATAAATTCTCCCTTCAGGGAAGTTAATTCAGAGAAGTTTAGAAAAAATTACTTGTATGTTTTCAATGCATAATTTTGTCTCAAATATGTATTTCATGGTCTTGCTCTGTTGGTCCGAAAATGTATCAAAACATTTAGATGAATCTATCCCTAGCTCATTTTTCTTAAATTTAGACTATGAAGATTTAGTAAATTTAACGGTTATTAAATGATCAAGTTCCAGATTTAGCTCATTAGTCCTATTACAAACAATTTTCTGTGTGAACTTTTTCATAATTGTACGATTTAAAATTAGGTCTTAAATGTACAAGTGTTAAAGATTAAAAATAAAAACATATGATTATACCTCTTTATAGAAAAGTATTCTTTTCTGGTTTAAGAATATGTATAGGAACTGTATTAGGAGAAATAGGGTAGGGGGGCTTGTCTTCCAATTATTTAGGGAGAACGTTGAGTAAGAGATCCTAGAAGTTTTGTACGTCCAATGTAGTTGCAAAAAAAAATACTTTAGAAGATATGTTTCAAATTTATAGTTCTCGAACCAAATATGGGTTGTGTGATTTTCCAAACTAGTTAGTCAATTTTTTTTCTGAAAAATAGAATTTATTAAATCATTAATTCTTTTTATCATTTTGATCAATTTAAATTTTTCGTATTATTAAAAACAGTAGCATTAATTTCTCCACATTAGATGTTTCAATGTATTGCGATTATTTTCTCATTTTTTGAGGGACTTTGCGTGCGATTTTTTTATTTTCAAATGAGACTTATAATGTATTATTGAGGGGTTTTGAAATAAAAAAAAATCAGTGATATAAAAAAAAGGATATTCAAGCTTCGAAATAGTAATAGTTACTTACACTTTGTGAGATTTCTTACAAGTGTAAATTTTTCTGAAATTGGGAATGATGCCTCTTGAGGACAACATAAGATCTGTTCTCCATAACCAAAAGGCACCGAAGCTGACGACTTCAATCCTTTCAATGTTCTTTGAAAATCCATGGACACTAAAACAACAACATCGTAAAACATAATATTTACACTTTATTTTTAATGCAGCAATGTAAGAAAAAAAGGTAAGTCTTTTATAATGCAAATGCCAACGCTTCACTTTTTATGTATTCACCAAGATAGGATTTTCGATTCGCAGCTTTTGAATCAGATTGCTTAAATAAAAATCTGAACGTATATATCTCTAATATACTTACAAAATGCCGTAAAAAGCATGATAAATGTGCTTCTCATTTCAATTTAACAAGCGTTCACCTTCTCTAGAAATTCTTTAAATTCCAACAGAAGAGAAGCCATTGCTGGTGTTTTCCCCTCCTCCGTCCAGCCCAAGAGGATAAAAAAAAAAATCTTATTTTGATAAATGTTCTTTTGGGTGATCAGCTTTTCTTTCTTTTTCTTCAGAAAACCATCGTCTTGTTTTATGGGAGGGCTATTTATTGGAAAAATGGCTGTCACAATTTTCAGCGGGGAGGAATGTTAGGTAGCGTGACGTATGGTTCGAGCTGCGAGTAAGGAAGAAAAACGGGGAAAACGTTTCATTAGGTTAAGTTATGGCGAACTATTAGCTGGCGTGTTCAAAATGAATTGTTTTAAAATGCAAAACTATAAAAATTTTAATGCTGAATTTCTGTTATTAAATATATTAAGCAAATCTTTTAAGTGTTTTTTAATCAGTTAGTAATAAATCGAAAGTTGCGATTTTTAATATGCTTTGTTATAATATGGAGTAAATAGCCTGAAACCGTATCTTTCCACTACATGTTAAGGTAGAAAATATGGTGTTAAAGTATTATTTACTACATTTTACATTAGACAGCCATTTTGCAATTGCAAAATTTCAAAAGCACATAGGCATAACACATTACATAACACTTTCTCATTGACATAACACTTTCTCATTGATATAACACTTTCTCATAATGTACAAAACTAGATGGCTGCCTTATGGCAAGAAGCTAGCTGGAGAGCATATGGTAAAACGGCGTAGGGTTACCAATTGCTCATGTGGGAAAAAACTGGATGAATATGGATTGTGCATTTATTAAAATGCTTGTTGAACAGCAATTGTGTTTTCGTTGCAAAATTGGTTACATAATAATTGTTAACCCGTATTTTACCATTGTCCTCTATAGAGGACAGCATCAATTTGTTGAATTTTTGCAATGGATACTGTTATATTTAATTATTTTTTATGTTAAGGTAGCAGATATGGCGTTTAAGTATTATTTACTACATTTTACATTAGACAGTCATTTTGCAATTGAAAAATTTTCAAAGCACATTGGTATAACACATTGCATAACACTTTCTCATTGACACAACACTTTCTCATTGGTATAACACTTTCTCATAATGTACAAATCAAGATGGCTGCATTATGGCAAAATGCTAGCTGGAGAGCATATGGTAAAACGGCGTAGGGTTACCAATTTCTCATGTGGGAAAAAACTAAATGGATATGGATTGTGCATTGATTAAAAAGCTGGGTGAACAGCAATTGTGTTTTTGGTGAAAAATTGGTTACATAATAATTGTTAAGGTTAAAAACGCAACATAGACTGCAGATTTGCTTACGCAAAAAATGGATGAAGGGAAATTGTGCTTATGACAAAAACTATAGGAATAAACTAAAAATTCTGAATATGACAAAACACTAGGGAAGCAATTGCGCTCTATATGTGGAGAAATGTTGCATATTGTAAAACACTGGATGCTGTAAAATTGTTAAGGTGACAAGGCAGTAACGGGGAGGGGGCAACTGTTGATATGAAGCACTAGATGAGGAGAAATTTTGCATACTCCATAACAACTGACTGGTGAAAAAATGTAAATGTAAAAAACACTAAATGGAGAGAAATTGGAGACATGAACCTAACTATGCATGGATCAAAATGGTGCATGAAAAATAATTGCGCTTTTGACAAAACACTGGTTTTCGTGAAATTGTAAATATAATAAAACATTTGATGGTAAGCAATTGAACATTTTAAAAGCTGAATAAGGAGCAATTTCGTTTTTGACAAAACCTACAATCCGATATTTGATAAATAATCAAAGCGTTTTGTGAAACACGTGTGTTCAAAAGGATGGGTAGTAACTTTAAGTTTAAATTTTTTTTTCATCATTTAAAACAATAATGAATATTAAATTTTATGCTTGACCTAAATAGTAAATTTATTCTCATCGAAAAGCAACAGAGTCTATCACTTATAATTTATTTTATCTTATTTATTCTTTGTCCCGTTAATATTACTTTAGCGTCCAAAGCATGTCTAAACTTGTCCAAGAAATAAATCACTCTGCTAATTTTTCTATTGTAGGGCTGCCCAACGACTGAATCTATCGGCGAAAAAGAAGAAACGAGATCCCGAGCGGCCGGTGTTTCGAACAAGCTTCAGGGATGTCATTAAGACGCATCCACCGCCAGTACCCCCGGGACTACTCAGGATAACTGGACGCAAAGAAGTGACCGGCGTGGGAAAGGTGAGTGACCAAAGTGGACATGCCCAAATGACTGTAGTCTTTCCAAAGGGTTAGATTGTTCTGGAATTGGCTGTTTGTTTTTATGTCTCTCTAAGTGGCTATTTCGAAAGAAGTTAGTCTTATTTTTTTATGTACTACGAGTACATTAAGATAGGAACTTAATTGTGTTTCTGCTTTGGACAATACTGTTAAATTGGCTTGTATCATATTGTTGATACTTATATTGATACTAGAAAGTTTTGTTTTGCTCATAGTTTGGCTTGGCTTATTTATATCTTCAAACCTTCGATAATTTAAGACACATTCTCAGATAGAAGAGTAAGGTTGATTTTAGTGTAAATAACAATATTTATCAAAAAAGTCAACAGGGTTTGTAAATCATTAGCAAATAAGCAGTGATAGCTTGAAACAATGTTAAATTTAAGTATGCTAGTTTACGCGCTGTAAAGTTTGCATTAAGCTTGCATAAACAACCCTTCTATATCGAAATTGAAGTCGCTTTACAGAACAAAACGAGTAAAACCTTGTAAAATCGAAGAGAAATCATCATTCCTAAAGCAAGAGTTCAAAGCGTTCTCTAACCGAAAATAAATTTATCTTCTAAAGGTTTATTTTAGATTTGATGACCATCACTGAAACAAAGTTTATTTGAGCAAACTTTTAAATACTGTTCTTAAAAGTTCAAAAGTGAAGGTTGGTCTGATCATTAAGTTTTCAACACAAGCAAAATGCTGCATGTGAGAGCATGGCCAAATCTGGATTGAAAATAAAAAGGCAAAAACAAAGTTTACAGAAGGAGCTAAAAATGAGTCTTTTTTGCTGTTTTTCTTTTTTTTAATTTGAAGTGAATGAAGCTTTTTGCGTGCCTTAATTCAAACTTTAACGAAACAAGCTTGCCATACTAATGCTTCTACTATGTTCAAAAAATGATTAATTTCTCTACCTTTCAATGCCAACCAAATGAAAATGAAAATACAACGTTAGCCGTAAGGTTGCCTTTTATTTTGGATTTTTGTTGATTTAGCTATTAGATAACATTAAAGGCAATTCAATTTAAGGAAATGCTTTGTATCAATACATTCAATTTATTTACATAATTATATTTACGATTTACTTTTAGGTGAAAGTAATGCTTCGAATGTGTCCATCAAGTGAGTCGGGGTCTGTTGATGCTTCCTACATGTCCATGGACAGCAGGAAAAAGCAAGTAACGCTGTACGACCCCACCGTCTGCGGGCAGGAAACATCGGGTGAAAGACACGCTGGCGTTGCTGCCCCAAAAATGTTTGCATTCGATGCTGTTTTCTCCCCTGATGACAATCAAGTAAATAAAATTCATGTTTACTTATATTTTGCTTCGTTAAATGCTTAAATCTTACTCCAAAATATACTGTGCTACTTTTATACTACGCTATTTTATTGACATCGAGATTCACAAGCATGCTAAATTACGATTAAATATAATAAAAATAACAATGTGATGCCGGCAAGTGACGTAGAGTGGGTATCTCGATCCTGATTGGTTGCTGAAACGTGACATTTGTTTACGTAAAAAACTGTTCTCCCTATTCTATTCCGAGTGAGCCAAAACCGTCAAGTTTCAATTCTCTTAAGGGGCCGTTCAAAAAGTGCGTACACAAAAATGGAGAAATTTTCACCCCCCCTCCTTCGTACATTAAAGTACATAAGGTCTTATCCCCCCCCCTCAGAGTACTTACGTTTTATTAGTCTACCCCCTTTTTCATAAAAGTTAAAATAATTATGTTTTAAATAAAATTAAATAATTATTTAAAATAATTCATTCATTTAAATTATTTAAGCAATAGCACCCAACTTTATTTTTGAATCAATAAATAAAACAATCTTATCTGATCAACATAATAATTTCCTACAATCAATGAGATTCATCTACAGTATTTTCCCAAGGACATTCCAAATGCTTCTCGAGAGACACCAATTCAGCGTTACTCTTGTCTGCGACTGATGAAAAATTTAGATTATCTTCATCAACGAAATCATTGTCGATCCACTCTGCATCATCTTCATTTTCCTGGTTTCGGAGGATAACCAAAAATACTAGTTTTCGAGAACTGATTTACTTATTCTAACAAGTGGTCGCCATGTGAAGAAAAGAACAAACATATGTATAATACATGTGAAGGAAAAAGTCACATTGAAATTTGGTGTATGCTTATAATATACGTACTTTGTATAATACCTCCCCCCTCCCCATCGTACAAAACCGTACAAAATAGCAAATCCCCTCCCCCCTTCAGGATGAACGGCCCCTAAGTTACACATTTTATATTATTTCGCAAGAATTTCAGTTCCTTCTCTATATATTTATTTCTATTTAACAGAAAGACTGTCATGAAGCCATGTAGAACATAAAAAAACTAATTATGCATCGAAGTTTCCAGGTAAACGAAACAAAAATATATCATGATTACAATAAAATATGAATGCAAATAATAAATAAGTAAATAGTAACAATAAGTAAAAGGCATCGAAAAGAAAGAATTATATTATAACAAATTCGGTGTGCGATACGGTGCCGTATTTAGACAACTTCATCTTATGTAGAGAAACTTTAACACCTCTTTGTTTATACACGATCAGCAAACGCTTAGGTCATAGATCACGTATCTGTGTATCAGTGATCGTCTTTTTCTCGAGTAGCAAGAACCTAATTAAATGAATTCAGGTTTTGATTTGAAAAAAGATTAAAATGATATAATCAAGGCTTGGTGGATGCTTATTTCGTCAACTGTGGAGAATAGTTAACAATTAAAAAGCTTTTCAAACTTCAAAAGTGAAAAATGAACTAAAAGTCACAAAAAAAACATGTATATTTGGTCTCAATAATTTAGGTTATTCTAGTAATCTAGATTTATTAACGATAACCAAACTTAAATTAAGGTATACAAAAATAACCATGTCGATTGACTGGCATCTGAGGAAGATGAGAATTTTCCATCAGTTAGGTCAGGAAGATTTTATATTTAATCCATATTATATTTATATTTATTCTATATTATTTATTCTATATATTCTATATTATTTATTCTATATATTCTATATTATTTATTCTATATATTATTTATTCTATATATATACTATTTATTCTATATTATATTTAATCCATATTTATTTATATTTATTCTATATTTTAATACTTACTGACGATAGATTAGAAGAAACATCAGTGTTTGGAGTATCGGGCAAATATATACCGGGCAATGGCACTTGACCTTAAAAAAACATCAGTGTAGGGTATACCGGGCAGTGGCACTTAACCTTAAAAAAACATCAGTGTAGGGTATACCGGGCAAATG